TGTATACCCTTTGGTTGGTTGATGATGCATGGAGGGGACTGTACCCATGGCAATGAAACGATATACGATAGGATGAATGTAAAGCTAATTTTCTCCCATTAAACTATCACATAATTCACAATAAAACATTTTTAAAAAAAAAGATTTTAAAAAAATGTGTGGATCATGACAAGCTATGGACCACATTGCAGGGTATGAGTATTCCGAAACACTTAACTGTGTTCATGAGGAATCTATACATCATGAGGAATCTGTACATAGACCAAGAGGCAGTTGTTTGAACAGAACAAGAGAACTCTAAATGGTTTAAAATCAGGAAAGGTGTGTCCCAAGGTTGTATTCTTTCACCATACTTATTCAATCTGTATGGTGAGCAAACAATACGAGAAGTTGGATATATGAAGAAAAATGTGTCATCAGGATTGGAGGAAGACTTGTTAACAACCTGTGATGGGCAGATGATACAACCTTGCTTGTTGAAAGCTAAGAGGACTTAAAATACTTACTGATACCAATCAAAGACCACAGTCTTTAGTATAGGTTGTACCTCAATATAAAGAAAACAAAAATGCTCACCTCTGAGCCAACAAATAACATCATGATAAATGGAGAAAAATAAAACTTGTCAAAGATTTCCTTTCCCTTGGATCTACTATCAACACTCATAGAAGCAGCAGTCAAGAAATCAAACGACATATTGCATTGGGCAAATCTGCTGCACAGGAACTTTTTAAAGTGTTGAAGAGCAAAGGTGTCAGCTTGAAGACTAAGGTGCGCCTGACCCAAGCCACGGTATTTTCAATAACTTCATATGCATGCATAAGTTGGACAGTGAATAAGGAAGATGGTAAAAGAATTGATGCTTTTGAGTTATGGTGTTAGAGAAGAATATGGAAAGTTCCATGGGCTGCCAAAAGAATAAACAGATCTGTGTTGGAAAAAGTGCAGCCAGAGAGCTCCTTGGAGGCCAGGATGGCCAAACTTCATCTCACATACTTTGGACATATTATCAGGAGGGACCAGTCACTGGAGAAGGAGATCATGCTGGGTAAGGTGGAGGATCAGAGAATAAGCAGAAGACCCCAGCGAGATGGATTGGCAAAATGGCAGCATCAATGGGCTCAAGTGTAGCAACAATTGTGAAGCTGGCCCAGGACCGGGCAGTGTTTCGTTCTGTTGTGCATAGGGTCGCTATGAGTCGGTACTAACTCGATGGCACCTAACAACAACAACAACATGCATCTATCCAAAATATGTTCTAGTTCAAAGACAGAAGACAGACATTCTCAAACATGCAAGTACCCAGGGAATATAACATTCAATGAACCCTTTCTGAAAAAAAATTAACAAAATCTCATCAGACAAGAGCTGAGCCAAAATAAAGAACTCAACAACAAAATTACATGCTACAAAGCACTAAATGGTGATCAATAATTCCATCTAAACTGGGAATGAATACTATATGACTATGGGATATAGAGCTACAGGATCATCATTATATATACAAAAGGGCTTCTCAAAGTTCATGGAAAAATTCCATAATCTTTTATTTCCATTTTTCTGTAAACTTTTGGAAGCTCCCTCGTACATCTGATATTCACTTAATATTAATGATTATTTGTGGATGGTGGCTTTGGGATTATTTTTCTAATTTTATTGAAATATATAGAAGTCAGTGTTTGGGGTGATATATATAATTCTTTATAGTGAACATGTATCTTTTTTTTTTTTACAAAAAAACCCATGAATTTTCATAAATCTGAAAATAAAAAAGTTAACATACTTCTTGCTGTTATATGCCATTGAGTCAGAATCAACTCATAGGACAAAGAACTGCTCCACAGGGTTTCTGAGACTAATCTTTATGGGAACAGATCACCAGGTCTTTGCTCCTGCAGAGCAGCTGGTGAGTTCAAACTGCTGACCTTTCAGTTAGCAGCCCAATGCTTAAGCAGTTAATATAATATTAGTTCCTGTTAATATAATAATAGTAGTTAATTCTCAGTAGTAGAAACACATAGGATTTCTATGTTCTTCTTTGTATTCTTCTGTATTTTTTAATTTCTAAAAATAAAAACACATTCAGAAAAAATAAATCAAAATAGTATATAGTAATTATCTTTGGGTAATAGAATTCTACATAATTAAAAAAAATTTGCGTACTTCACTGTATTGTCCAGGTTTATTACAATGAGCATATATTATTTTACAAAGATACTCTTTCCCCAGAAAACTGTTACCTGGAATAAAGAACCGACAGAAAAAAAATTTCAGATGGTATATTATTCTTTAAAAGAAAGAGGCAGGGGAGGGAGAGAAAGACAGAAGAGGGTAGAAAAAAGCACAAAACATGCTCAGCAGATGTAAAGTTGGGCACGAGTGACAAGTGGAAGGTTCACCAAAGCAAGGAGTGAAGGATTCTGCAGGAGAAATGGACTGGGGTCAGACTGAATGTAAGATTAAGAATTGGTAGCTGGGTGGGAAAAACAACCAACAACTACAGGGCTCTCAAGAACCCCTTTAGCTCTTGCCCTTTATAAATATTGAGATTTCTTTAACATTGGTTCCCTACAATGTTGTATTTCATATCTGTACTCTTTCTCACAGTCTGAAAAAAACCTAGGTAAGTAAAAGTCAACAAATAATTATAGAAGGCTCACAACTGATGAGAAATGTCTTTAAACTAATTAATAGAATCCTTTAAACTCAGGTCTCTTGTTTTAAGATAAGGAAGGAACATAATGCGTAGAATTGAGTAAAGGAAAAAAGTCATTTCCTATGATAATAATTACCTTTTAATTTATCTTTAATGATTTCTGATAAATGCTTTGTGAGCTGAGGCATTTCTTCTGGGATGTAGTCAGCATTTGCCAGTTCTTCCTTGAGCACAGCATGGATACAGTCCTTAACCACAGAAGGTCTGAACCTAAGGAATACAATTTCAAGAACATCTAATTAGTACTGCCAAGCCCCATTTATCTTCCCACCTCCTTTCCTGCAGTGTTTTGTAATTAGGACCTTTTGTAAATAGTCCAGGGTGGCACAGTTTGCAGTCATTTGTTAACCTAAAGGTCGGTGGTTCAAATGCACCTAGCAGCAGCCTGGCGGTCTGCTCCCCTAAAGATGATAGTCAGGAAAACCCTATGGGTACATGGGTTGCTGTGAGTCACTATCAACTCAGCAGCAATGGAGTTTCATTTTTTACTATTAATCCTTTTATGAAATTTTTATTATAAAATATAACCAAAAATTGGTACTGGTTGAATGAGACACCTAAAAATTGTATATCGCAGATTCAGGCAAGGATTCCGTGAAGGAACTA